CCTCTCTCTCTCTCTCTCTCTCTCTCTCTCTCTCTCTCTCTCTCTCTCTCTCTAGCACACGCATGCACACCCACCCACCCACACACACAGGTTCACAAATCGGGGAAGATCAGTTTCATTGAACTGATGGGGATGGATAAAGAATTTGGAAAGAAGAAGATGTGTTCAGCAAATGAGCATTCAGTGTGGTTGGAAAAAAAAAATATTACCCAACCATCAATAGCTGGGCAGTGTATACATTAGCCATGCACACATACACACACACCGCACGTAAGAGAAGGAGAGTGCAGATTACGTAACTCTGCATTGCAACTTGGGTGAAGTGAGGAGCGATATGTCAGATATAAGAATGGGAGTCATATTATGTGACACCAAAGTCAAAGAATCCATTCACCAGTGCGGATACGAATCATCCGATCCTCGATCTATGGCCAAAGCCATCTTGCATAGGACACAGCAACTCATTGCTCCCAACTCAATCTGACCACATACTGTGAACCTTTGTAACTCACAGAAACACCACGGCTATCAGGCGGAAAGCCATGCAGCTTGCCCTATTTTATTGCTATCTAAGCAAAAGTATACCATACCATGTGTTTCATTTCAGCATAGCTGCCATACCATGATTTCAAATTTTGAAACCTTCCATGGATTCTAACACAGGCCCAGCAATTGGCCCAGCCCATGGAGCGGACTGGCACACACATACATGCATGTTGATGAACAGATCATGCGTTCAAATCCTGATGGAATCAGATGGACACAGTAATGTCAATACCACTAGGGGCGAACCCACTTTGTAGCTAGGCCGTTTTGCCGGGCACCCAGGCACGCAACTTATGCCCGGGTACACGCTGGCGTCCCCGGCCGGGTATGACCCCCGGGCAGGGTTCTCGGCAGCCCCAGCGCCAAAAAAAATAATAAAAAAAATAAAAATAATAAAAATAAATAAATAATAAATAATAATAATTAAAAAAATGAAAATTCCGGGAAAAAAAAAAAGGTTCTGTACAATTGCAATACAAACGACTTTGGCTGAGGGTCACATTAGCATTCCTCGTGGAACCGGGATAAAAAAGAAACTAACAGAATCACAATAAGGCACCCCCTTTAAAGTTTAAACCCCTTCAGCCCGCCGAAGCAGCGGCACGGGTTGCTTGCCCCCCATGCTCACCAAATGAAATTAAATTAGGCCGCCGCTTCGCGGCGCTTGACAGCCAACGTGCAAAAAAAGAAATGAGCCCTGATTTGGGGTCCTCTGGGAGAGTGCAGGAAACCTTTTTTTTTTTTTTTTTTTGCATGCCAGGGTGTGTGGCGGGCGTGAGAATCTTCCTGGCTTTGTAGGAAGAAAATGACAGTCTCAACATTCAATTTGCAACAACCAAAACCAAAACGAACAGATTTTCAACAACTACTCCATGCTAGCAAGGAGAGCAGAAGGTAAACTAAACATCGGCATCATAGCACTGGTCGTCAAAGCATGTGGAAACGTTTGTCGTCATTGCGATAAAAAAAAGACGAAGGTACCGGTTTCGAAAAGTCTGGCAGCGGTAAGGGCATTGAAGAAGGGGCCAGCACTCATCAACTTGCTACAAACGTCCACTACTCTGCAGCCCCATGCCAAACTTTTAGCATCCCTAGCAGCAATCAACGCCCCCCCCCCCCCACCACCACCACCACCAACATCAACCCCCCAAAAAAAGCACAAAAAGCAATTCTGAGGAAGAAGAGCGAAAAGACCAGGAGCGATCAACCCAAACACGTTTGTGAACTAAAAATAAAGAAAAGAGAAAAGAAAAGCCGCAACGACAACAATAGCAACAGGGAGTCTGACAGATGAACTTCAACGCAATCCCGTCATCGTGAATGCATTTCCCCACCACTGGGTCCCCCGACCTTTCTCTGCCACCCCCCTCCCGCCTCTCCCCCCAGTGGCCCTACCCTCCCTACCCTGCAACACTCCTGTGTGATTCCTGTCTCTTATACACATCTAGATGTGTATAAGA